CGCACTTCGGACAGAGCACACTGCCCTTCTTCAAGGAAGGTCTCATGTTCTCCCTCCGAATTGGGCGCATAGTCCTGTACGAAGGTCAGCGCTTTAGCCTGTTGTAGCTTCAGTTGGAGGATTACCACCCTTCTGCGAGGTTGGGTTCTACCAGAACACCAACACCGGCCTGATCGCGAGTCCTAATATCGATGCTTGAGTAGAATTGCTTCCATCCTTGAAGTTCAGGAGTCCAGAGCCTTGGCGTTTCGTTGAAGAGAGTCCAACAATGTCGAGTTGGTACTTTATGGCCTCATCAGCTAACTGTTGTTCTTTTCCTCTGAGTGAGGATATGTTCCAGTTTACGACTTTAAGTTCCCACTGGTGGTGTCGTTCTCGTGGTCCCTTTTCTGACGTGCTATAATGGTCTGGCGCTGTTTGCCTCCTCCATTCAGAACGGTAGCGACTCCGTTGTTGACTAGTATCTTCGTCGTCGTTCCGTCGGTCTTCGTTAGCCGTTGTTGTGCTGCTACGCTCCCGGCTGGCAGAGGGCGATAAGCATTTTCTGATTGCCATCTTTTCGCAGTTTGTCTCAGTATTCCAACAGCCTGCGCGGCCTTTTTTAACCCGGGCGACGGCCGAGCCGGTGTGTTTTTCGATGGCGTCAGTAACATGAGTGGCAAGTGGCTAAACTTTACGGAGACTTGCCACGATCTGTAACCTTCCTCCTTTCTCAACCGGGCTTGGGACTGGCAGCGGCGGAGTTGTTAAAGGAAATGTTTTGAATAATAACGCTTGATAGAAAGATGTTGTTGAGTCCATGAAGAAAAAAGTTAGAGATTCATTAGGAGGTGTTTTCATAGCATTCTGTTAATTTATTTAAACCACTACATATACATATTAATGAATTTTTATGACATAATTTAATGGTGTTTTTTACCTAGGGTAATGGAAACCAAAAGGCAGGAGTATTTACTTATAGGTACACAGCAGAATGTCTTGTCAGGGTCCACGTTTGGATTGCACATGCTAGATATCATTTTACGTAAAATTTATTTTTGTTAACCCGTTTTCCTCACGAAGGTTTTCTACTCTAAGTAGCTGCTTGGAACTTTAAATGTGATAAATTGCTCGCATGGCTTCAAAGGGTGCTTAAGAGATGCTTAAGTGTACAACTTGACAATCTAACATGAAAAACTATTATATTTATAGATAGTTTCAGTAGTTCTGCGAAGAGTCGCACCAGATCTAAGTC